TTTTTGCTCTAGGCTCTTGCTCACCCCTTGGGCTTCACTTAGATGGCAAGCTTTGGAGAGGGGGAAGAAATGGGCCTCAGCCTTCCTCTTTCTTTTCGGATTCGTTGGGCTTTTTACTCCATTCATACTAAATCCAAAAAGAAAAACCCTCCCCTACTGAATCTTCTACTCTTTTCCATGAAAAAAACCTCCGCCCAAATCCCAATTTGTTCCACCAATTTCATACTTGAATCTTAGCTGTGTCCTGTGAATTAGATGGGATTGACGAACTTCATATTGACGGTGGCCGGTGTCAGTGCGGTGGTTCTTCTACTGAGGAGCGATGTGAAGCAATCGGCGACGATTTTCAGGCGTAATGTCAAGCACATACGCCACTGGCTGGAAGAAGAATCCTCTAATGCTTCCAAGTTAGCTTCTTTCCCCTCTCTATATTCATATGTGTTTGTCTCCGCCAGTTCGATTTTCCTTTATGAAATAAATTTCCCCCCTTTTTAATTGTTCCAATAGTTGATGTATGGGTTGAGGTTCAGTATTTATTGAAAGTACGTTGTTTTTGGTGAAATTCTGAAATTGGACAATCGCTGGCTGATTTCTGCTACTCTAGGTTATAACTTTTCAACTTGAAAACTGAGCAAATTTAATCAAAACGTCATATTTAAAGCTGTAGATGGTTCATGGTTGGGTTACTTGGGTAGAATGTGAATGAAAGAACAAGATTCATTTTTTTTTTTTCTCTAAATTATTATTATTATTTGATTTGTGTTTCTTCTGTAGTCCTTTAATTTTGTCCGGTTGATCATTGATAATTCTTAGAAAGTTCATATCTTTATTGAAGTGAGTAGATTGAAGCTTGTAAACCCTAATAATGTTTTGAGATGGGCATTATTGACCGTGTTATATATTGTTCAAGAAACAAGAACTGTTCTTTCTGATCCCGCTCGCAATGCATTATTCTTTCTTGACATTTCTATGGGTTTGTTCACTTCACTTGTGATCCTCTGGTCTTGACAATTTGAAGTTAAAATGTATACTAGGGAACATATCTGAAAGTGAAAGTGGCCTTTAGATACTTTGAGCAATGTGGTTGTGATGTTCTGATGATCACTTCATTAAGAATCCCTTTTCGTTTATGTAGTCTTCTCTTAATTTTATTTGTAGAGACTCAAACCCATGCAATGAAAGAGTTAGCCCTTAACCACCCACCACCTGGGCTGCAAACACTTAATTAGTCTCTTCACTTTCTTCCTCAAGTTTTATCATGTTAAACCTTTTCTTTGTGCTGCACTGTTTATAGACATTAATTAACATGACTTTGACTTATCTCCTTTTAGGGCAGCAGAGAAGGCAAAGCCGAAGGAACTGGACTCCAAGGCTCCTCCTCCCAAGGAAAGGGACTAGGTCCACTAGGAATAGTTATGTAACATATGGAGATATGTTTAGAATAAGTGGTGTAATGTCGGGGGACATTTGTTTTCCTGTCTTTTTGGTCTCTCATTAGCAAGGTTGTCAAAATCGAGATTTTATCTAAAATCATTTTGGCTATATGTAAAATCGGAATCGTAAAATCGGAATCGATAAAATTGAGATTTTACAAAATTTAATATATACTATATAATAAATTATATGAAATCAAAATTATACAACAATAAATCAAATTTAGAGTTAGAAACTTGAAATTAGTTAATTAAAATC